AGGAGGACGACCAGAGTAGTAGGGACCGAGTGGTGGAACAGAGGGATGAGTAGTTAGGACACGCATTCCTTCCTGACACACTTGGTGGCCTTTTTGAAGATGCCTTTACGCACAACGCATTAATCAATCAAGGCAGTGGAAAGGAAATGCGGCGGGTCTGGGCAGTGGTAGCCCTCCACCGCGAATTCATTCTGTGCTTTGTGATGCATTTGGAAATCTGAATGGGTGCGAATCAAGTAAACCCGCCACCGGAGCTAATTGTGCTTTTAACCAAGATGTTTACATTTGAGGGATTAATCGTCTAAGTGAAGTATCTTCAAGATGTTGTTACTAAATTCAACACCTCTTCCCCGGTTCCAAGTAAATAGTCAATTTAGACGGGCCAATTGTCAATTGCTAGCCGATTCTACAAATCTTAAACGTCTTTTTGGGCTGTATCGTCCCACATTGTCTTTATTAAGGAAGAATCATGTGAACACGTCGAGGTGACCACGATCGACACATTTTCTCCTCTCTTGTCAATATATCGACCCATCTTCGAAAAACGTATTTTTCTCATTCGATTCATTAGATACGTTGTCTTAATTGACAACAGACAACCACTCTTCATCTACCTGACATGTTACTCAATGAAACCTCGAAGACCATACAGAAATCAATTTCGTAGCCAGGATTTGTGTAACTACAGGCCTAACCCTTGAAGTTGAGCTAACACAGACCAATGGAAGTAGAGCAGACCACTGGACGATAATCCAATTAAAAATGCATTGACGACGCTCGTAGCCACGTATTCTGGTACATTTCTAGGATTAATCACCTCATATTCTTTGATTAAAGAGGAATTTCGCAAGAACCTCAGGCTCACTACGATCGTGATTGTTTTTTTTCTACCCCCGTCAATGAGTGTTGTGAATTTCATAGCCAATGGTGCACTTAAATTTTCTAACCGGACCTACGCCCCGCCAATGTCAGGGAATAGATTAAACAATTTCAAGTGTTCTTTCATCGGCTGCCATCAATCACCGGATGTATCCGCATCGGTGACAAATCACATTTGTAATTACAACCAACACATCGCATCTAGTCCGCGAATCGACGTACCTTTACATCCATTCCCGGATCTGAAGGTCATTAGCCTGTGAAAAGGTCGCTATTTGCAGAAAACACTGGGATTTACAAAACATCACAGATTTCATTTAACTGACAACTGAGACGCTGGGAACTAGAGAAATAACAAGATGCGCCTGGTTTGAGGAACGATATCTTGGCATACACGCTTTGTCACCTCGTAAAGCTAGCACTTGTGCAAATAACAAGGTCCTTTAGATCGAAACTCTACCTCCAAAGCACCAAGACACCCACCAATTCCACGGAGCTAACCCCCTTACCCAATGCGCCCACCACTCCCTACTGTCCAAGTGGACACGCAGGGCCCACACGACCACTCCAATCGGTCGATACCCACAGACCAAGAAATAAGCACCACAGAAGTGCAATAATTTAAATGGAAAACCCGAGACTGGGAGTTGTTGGCGGAAAGTAACATCTGCATGAAGAACAGCAGCGCAAGGGAAAAACTCGCGGAACAACTTGGCTCGATCTGAATTTGGGTATCAAAAGTACAACAAAAGGAAATTAATAAAAATACAAGGACTACTAAAGGTACTCCTGTAGGTCCTTCAATCCTTAGCGTCACCAATTCCATCTGGCATGATTGCGTACATTGCTTCCGCCTCGGGCAGGCAAGGACTGTCGTAAATCTTGCACACCCGCGTTTCACCACGTCCCTTTCGCAGATACAGCCTTTAAACAGAAAACATCCACCCACGTGAGGACAAAGGCGTAGTGGTGATAACAGTTGCCAGAACAATATTGTTGTTGAAGTACAAAGTGGCGTGTTAAGGCGCAGGATAAAGCTAGAAGATAACTGTTTTGTTTGGCTGTCTCGCAAAATGTAGCCAAATTAACAAGTGATTACAGTGATTAAGTTATTCGGACACAAAAACATGGGCCCCGTAATTATTCAATTTACCACGTGATTCCAATAGGAGGGTTTGATGGCCTACTTCTAAACGTAAGGCACCTAACCTTGTGGTAGACGCGTGGCCCATGATATTGCCACCGATCGGCTTCTTTGGATCAGCCGAAAACATCGCGGCACCGTCCACCTGAGCAACAACCTGATTCGTGATCACCACCGCAACGCCAAATTCGTCTGCCAAACGCAAAAGCGTTCGGAGAAAACGGGCCAAATGCATTTGGCGAGCGGACAACTCCCCACGGCCTGAGTAGTCAGTTCGATAGAGAGCGGTGGCACTGTCCACAATCAACAAAGCATACCTAAAAGTGAAAAAAATATAATTAAGCGTTAATTTGTAGGTGGCAACCCTATTTCTCTTTTATCACGATCAGTAGATCACATTAATGAAAGGCCTCATTTGTTGGAGACTGCAGAAAAAAGCTACTACAAAGGTCTTAAGTAGAAAGTCAACAATGCGGCCACCAAGTCTACCTCGATTCGCTCATCATTGCAGCAGCGTTAATGAGAAGCTCCAGTTGATGATCAGTGTTGTAAGCGCGTGCGTAAGCAACATTGTCCAGAACATCACTGCCCGAAAGTCCGTAACGCTCAGCAACGGCAAGCAGACGCTCTGGGCGGAAAGTGCCCTCCGTATCGATATAGAGGCATTTCCCCTCACCACCTCCCATATCGACGGGAAGCTAAAATCACAAATAGCAGTATAACTATTAAAACAAAAGGCCTATCTAGCACGAATTTAGCATTTTGGCTGGGAAAAAACGCAGGTTCAAGAGCTAAGCCGGAGTAAAATCGACCGCCTAAACGCAACGATCAAAACCAGTTCTATACTGAGCACTACCGGCCGTTTGAAACACGCAATTAAACCTGGAAAGGAAAACAGCGAACTTGACGCGTTCATTTCTTCAGATCTTTCTGCTTGAAGTCTGAAGGATGATTGGGGTGTGGCAAAAATCTCAATAGATCTATTGGCAAAGTTATGAATAAGTAATTGTTATAGAAACTGATGGACTTAGCGACAGATAGCGCGTACTTTAAAAGGTCAGCATCCAAAATATACCAAAGCAAAATTCGTGGCTACTGCCACAAGCGCAAGTTAAGTTGCGGCAATGTTTAACATCAGGCAGATAAAACTGCGGTTCTGAAAACCCAGAAACTCCTTACGACACAAGTGGACTGTCACTAATGGCAGAATAGGAGCTCCACATGTTTAACTACGGCAGACCTGCAAATAACTCAAGGACAACGCCCACTGTCTCGCAAGTAAGCATACCTGACAAGTCACGGCAAGCGTGTGGCAGATTTGCGTTTTTCCCGTTCGAAACTCTCCAAATAGCTCCGTTATGGAACCCGTCTCAATACCACCTGAAAAGGGGTCAGCAAGGAAAATATGATTCACCCTGAAGGAGTTTATCCAATTCCTTCGATCCTGTGGTCAATTGGATTATTTCTGATCTTTTCTGGTGAAATTCAGTTGCAGTTGTGAAACCAAACGGAACTAACTTCTTCGCAGCTTCCTATGATGAAATAATAAATGAAAGTAAAAAAACTACCAGAATTTTATCGGCCTTCATTTCGCTGATACCTTTGATACTGAGAAGAGCTTTCTTGGGAACAAACTGTATGCTTTCGACTGAATAAAAACCCGCCTCCTGCAACTTCTTTACATCTGCCGCTGAAATTCCGGAACCCTGTAAGTATTCATGAAGATGATAGGACCAGCAAAATCGCGTAAAGACAATATAGTCACAAGGGATTTTAGATTTTAATTTCTGAAACTTAACGGAGATGTAAGACGAAGTATGCATAGATAACAACACTATTCGACAGAGATGATGAATTTTGCCGCTGTTAAAATACACCTCACAGCATTCGAGCTTTTAGGTAAATGTCACAGGTATAAACGGTTTACAAACCGCAATTTAAAACCGAAAAAAAGCATGGAATTTCATACTATTTTACTAAAGTATAGCCTAAAGGCATTTTTTCAGTGCTTTATTGTAGTGTATCAAGGTAAGCAATGTCTCAACAGGCATCATGGAGTACCCTAATTCAAGAATAATAAACTACAAATAAATCTCCATATACACCTTTACAATTAATTGCCTCATGCAAAACGGATTATGTATAAATGCATTACTACAGTAAACCGGATAAGTAATGGCACGAAGACACGTCAAACAGGAATAAAAAAACACATGCGACCATTTGTGACCACAATTCTTGGCACTCACTTCAAGCTTTTGAATTGAGATCGGTCCGGCATTTTCTTCGTCATCAGCAGTGTTAACAGAAACTATATTTGAGCCACGTTCTTCCTGTAGAGACATATGTAAAAAACGACAAGAAAAAACTCAAATCTGCCACAACAGACCAGTATTTTAATTCGAAATAATTAAAACACCACTTAGAATTTTAAAAATTCAACTGCAAGATAATACAAGCGACATGCATCTAAGCATTAATAAGCATTTATTTAAAAAAGGAAAATTAACAGAATAGCTCCAAAATGCGTACTTGGGACATTAGAAAAGAAAGACTTCTTGAATATCGAGTATTCTACAAACTCATTTACCAAAATACCAACGCAACCTCAATTAAAAGATAAAGATAAGGTTTTATAGCTCTACAATACCTGTTTTTATTCGATGAGTCAATACTTACCATGAAACTGGACCATTTCTCTAGTGAGAATACACTTCAGAGCCCTCTACGAAAAGGCCATTTGCTCGATAATTGCTACAGACATCCTATAAAATAACAACTTGAAAGTAAGGTTAAAAGGATTCAGGTTTAAAAAAGTTTTAGCGTTTTAAACGCACAACAAACGACTAAATGTGCCTCTTAGCTTACGTTCCCCAGTGCTTGATCTATTAATTTCTCCTATGTGGAAAAAGACTTTATTTTTACTTTAAAAACTAACTTATGGTAGAATTGTCAGACATCAGGCTTTAATTAAATTAAATCAAATTCTAGGATTTTTAGGATTCTCAGAATTCTTTCTACCATTTTCTTTCAAAGGAAATTGGATGGTGCTTATGTATGCAATCACTTCCTTAAAGTGATTTGAAAAAGACAGCGCACTGTTTTCCTATTAACTTTGATTATATATGCATTGTTTTGTATCCAAAAAATTGCAGTACTTCAGTGTAGTTTCTATAAGTCATAAGATGCAGCTATAAGCTAAGATAACGTTGTTGTGGGCCCCAGCGTGTCGTCCTGAAGCACGCCGGGGCCACGGAATTACCTCTGGCCCGGCTACGCTTGCCTGATACCCACGATGAAAAAAAAGACCGAAGAGGATGGAACACAAGCGTGTACTTTGGAGGTCAACCACGTTGGTGTCATTGTGTCGTGTGTGGTGTTTGCGCGTGTGTAGCTTGGATGTGGAAGTCACACATGCGCTAACATCGAAAAACCTATGTGTGGGGACACTCCAAGATAAATATTTGGGCTAATTATGGTTGAGTTGAGGATTCGAGCGGCTGGCGACATGCTGCAACAAGGGGAACCCTGTGTAGGAGGTGGGGTGACCGGATTAGGAAATTGAATAAACAGGATTCACGACAACGTCATCAGCAATGCAAGCAGAATAAGTAGCGCGTACAATAAAAAGAGGTAATGCGGCCTTCTGCTACAACTAGTATTTAGCGGACTAGTTCAGCAATAAATCCGCCTATAGTCTGAAAATAATTCCTGTTGAACCAGGAAGACCAATAACCCATGCATACAGAAATAAAAATTAAGACAGGGCACCACTTATTCGTTTCTGTGTATTTAAACCTATGTACAAATATATTCTAGATAATGAAAAAACTGACTTCTTTGTGGAACTTTCGTAATAATTATGAGTTATGAATCGAACTGACTATTCTAAGATCGCATGTAAACTGCTGGAAAATTGTAATATTTTTGGCTCAAATTCTATTAAAAATGAACTGAAATTAAATATATTCCTTAATTTCTTTTTTAGCAAACTGTCAAACTCTTGCTCTTAACATGAATTAGTATAATTCTATAATTAGCTTATTTAAAATCTAAACTTAAATCTTTAAAAAGCCCATAATGTCCAAAAGAGGGGTCACTTTGATTTGTCCTCTCATTTTTTAAAAATCAAATAACGTTCAGTTATATTCAAATGCGAAATCTTGCAGAATCTTATCGTGATTTTTAGTGGAAAATTTGACTGAATACGGAAAAGTTGAAAGGCCTGACCAAATTAGATTAACGGACTTGAGCGATCGGAGCTCGTAAATTGGAGGCAATGTCTATATGTGTGGTGGACAGACAGCCACCTCGCGTGAGCGATGCGTGTGTGGCGGCGTATTAGGTCGCAGACATATTAGATCACGGTGCCTTAGCTAATCCACTGTCTCTTTGCGATTCAACGGCATGCGAGAAAGATATGCCGCCAATCAGAGAAAGACACGAGTCAGGAGCAGTAAATGATGATCGGCGTAGCCAGCGTGGTGGACACAGATGGACGGTGCCTGACATATGGTTCTGGCTTGTGATTAGTCAATAAAGTTTGTCCTGCTGTGCCAGTCTTCTTCATTCTCAGGCTAGGGTATTCTACACGTGTACCATGGTTCGAGTGAACCAATGATCCACTCCTTCTATTATTGGCTTCTGTTAGCATTCGCCTGTTACGCACGCGTACTCATACGCACACAAAAACACTTGGCTACTGTAAAACTAATGAACGGTCGTGTTTTCTGTCGCCTCTTCTCCTCCCTTTCCTCGGAATGTTACAGGCTGTTAGCTAGAGAGTTGTAAGTTAGTGCTAACTAAGCCAATGTATATGTGATTGGGTCCAACTCCATGACCACCAACCTGAAATACCTTCGTACTAGCGACACACTAGGCTGTTTTTCCAATAAAGTCAGCTCAAAGCGCCATTGAAACGAAAGAGAGCATATGGAAAACCAAAGGTAACCATTAATTAATAACACATACATAAAAAAGGTTAAAATTTGGTCATACTGAAGTAATGTAGCACTTGTTGAATTCGTAGATTGAAAAGAGGCACTGAGTAAGCGAAATTACGAAATATGATAATAGGTTCACATAAATATGCTAATGTAAAGGTTTGAAGTAGGTCCATCAGTTCTTTAGAATATATAATACAGTGATTTGACCACAACCAAGGTCATGCCCAGCTAACTCACTAGCCTTTATTACGTTCGGCAATAGGTTTTCTTCCGGCTTGTTTGCTGACTATATAGTTGGGAGAAATACTTACTGAATTTGAAACAAAATTGGAACTAAAAAGCGACAATTTTAGATTTTGTAAATTGTGTGTCAACACAACTACGCGATGATCAGTAACACTAAAAACATAATTAACCTTCATGCAATATCGGTACAGGTTTAGATCCAAATTTGTTAATGAAAATCGATTTTTGATTTAAGAATATAAAGTTTTGCATGTACCTGTGAGAGGAATTTTCCATTAAAGGAGATGGCCAGAAAAAATTGAAAAAATCAGCTCAGTATAAAGTTATGGTGAGTTATTGCGTACAATTTCCGTTAAAAATAGTCTTGCTTTTGCAATGAGTTGATAGATCTTTTACTAAACTATGATAAAGTGACAACAGCAAGTTTTCTCCAATGAAACCAAATAAATTAACCTTCGAACGGAACAACATCAAAAACCAAAAGCACTTAAGGGATATTTGAGAAGAAAATGCCTTCTAACATACTTACTAAAAATACATCATGCGTGTTATGACAGTAATCACTCAATGTATGCCTTGCGGGGACAGAAAATAACTCCATCACCTAAGTTAGACAAGCTTGTAGACAAGTAGGTTTGTTTTTCTTTAAAGAAACCTCTTTTCATCTCTTTAAACTTTTTTCCTAATACACTACCGAATTTCTTGAGGCACATCGGTGTTTGCGTCCCAGCATGTGCATTTATGTGTTTAGGTTGTTTGATTTGCTGATTTTGATTGGTCAGTTATAAACTGTGGCGTTTTCGAAAGTCATTGGCGTCGGGTTTTTAGGATAATATCGCCCATTAAGTCGTTTCCCCTATTTGCTCTTTGCACACTCCAAGAAAATTTTACGCCTGTCATGGAAGTTGACAATGCAACGCAACCTAATGTTGACGGCGCCAATGATAAGAATGTTGTAACTGCTCCTGTCGAAGCAAAATTTGATTCCAAGAAAATCGATTGTAAAAACGGTGATAGGAACCTTCCCAATGACCTGAGGTGCGTTTAATTTTACTCTGCTAACTGTTACCAGATTATCGACGATGGTATTACCAGAGCTGTTGAATGCATTTCTATGCAATGGTGGCGCTTCTGTACGTTATAACCAATTAATTTACTTCTTAGGAGTCTGTCGTTGACGAAGCGTTGACGTTAATGAGGCTCTCAACAACTGCCCTCGTAAGTGTTGATGAATCCTACGTTGTTGCTGCACTTCTGCGTGCCATTGAAAAGGCAGACGAAAACGTTTCGTCAAAATATCTACTTTTGATTTCAAGCCTTCTTTCATACACCTTTTCACCAAGGAGTTTGCGTCTGATTATTGAGTATCTTATGCCATTTGATCAGACTTGGGTATGCAGTTTTATTTAATCGATATTTTGTCAGCGGCCATATTCATACGAACTCTTACATCAACTAAAAATAGCCTCCAGCTTTCCCAATAATATGTCCTTCTTTGTCTTTCCTGGAACCTCTAAAAGCGTAAGCTGATTACAACTAATCAGCGGTTTTAGACTTTGGCCATTCCGCCGATCTCCAAATTTCCCTATCAGAATGGGTGGAGTTTTCATTGTTGGGTTTATCTTGACCCCTCCTTGTGTAAATTGAGTGACGCGAAACCGCGTTATCTTTTCTGGTATGTATTCAGCAAAATTTTTATATATTTTTGTCCAAGTTTCCAAACAAATAAAGGGACTGGGTATACAGCTCATTTTTTGGGCAGTCTACTAATAATAACCTCTATCACGTCAAAAGGGAAAGATCTACAGCATTGCGTCTTGACCGAATTTTACCCATGCAGGGTAAGTTGTATTTTTTTACAAATAGTTTCCTAGTGGTACATGTTAGTCATCGCCTTTGTCTACAACAGATGGAGTAAATGTGAGATAAGGTGCTATGTAGATGGAAACATTGTTTCCAACTCGGAAATGGCATGGCCGATTGCCACCTCGGATTCATTCGATAAGTGCGTTATTGGAGGTTTGCCGGATCAGCGAGAGGAAAACCTGTTTTTCGGTCGCATCGCTTCGATCATGGGATTCACTGAGGCTCTTTTGCCACATCAAATTGCCGCCCTGTATGCTCTTGGCCCAAACTACAAGGTAAACTGTACCAAACGCGGTTATTTTCCCCTTTAATTCCTAGTTAATATCGTGTTAATGCGTTTTTTGGCTTAAGGGTCAGTTGCGGTTTGAATCTGAGGTCAAGGGGCTTTTGTCTGACACTGAGCGCAAGGCCTTGTTTGAGAGTAGACTTGCCTCATCCCTCATGTTTGCTTACCATCCATCGGCTTGTGACCACAATTTATGCTTGGATCAATCTCCGAAACTCAACGCCACAGTTTTCGCACACTCTCCCCATGGACTAATGCAAGGAGTAAGTCTACTTTTATGCACCTATCTCAGTTATCTGTCACCCAGTCCCACCCTTTTTGGATACTTAAACATAATTTGGGAGTTATTCTTACTCGCTTAATGTAGCCTCAAAGTTTTCTAGAACTGTAATGACGCAGCTGCTCGCTACCAAGTGACCATTTATGTTTTTAATGGGTAACATGTTTAGCGTTTTTGTTGAACATAGCTGATTCCTATTTGATTCGCACCGTCATTGTCACGTATTGCCGTGACTAGAAGCTGTTTTGTCGTGATTGCTGTTTCAAATCTTTCTTGAACTTCAAACATCAAGTCCTTGAGTGTGCAAAGTTCCTTCATCTATTTGGGCTTTGCGTCGTTCGCTTGTTTCATGCTGATGGACTAGAATTTGTTTTTTTGTGGTTCCGGCTTGGCGGCTGCCAATCATCGTTGCTGCGTTGTCCTGATGCTCAGAGCTGCTGCGCCTGAGAATATTGACCAGTGGTAGTTAGGGTCTGGTTTGCCGAGTCTCTGAACGGCCTTCTTTGTGCTTTTTTTAAAGGAAATACGACCAGTCCGAACAACTTCTCTGCAGTCGGCTCTGCACAGTCTCGGCGGGATCCAGTTGCTGTATCTCCTCTTTGACCAGTTAGATTACACTCCCGAGGGCGCAACAGGCTGTGAACAGTCACACTGCACGGTGGAGCCCTTTCCGGTGGCGTGCGTTCGTTTCCGCTTAGCTTAGTTGTTTTTTTACATAGACTGTTAGCGCGGGTTCACTAAAGCCGTCTGCACATCTGCCCAAAAAAGGAAAAATCGTACTTTCTGTCCATTTAAATCTCTGAATGTCCATATTCTTAGTCCACACGAAATCCAAATTTTTCACAAACTTATTGCTGATCAAGTAAATTTTAGAAAGTGATTTTACTGTGAAGACAAAAACTGTTATTATGATTTAGTGAGTTGTGCGTTCAGACCTATCTTCGTCAAGCTCTTATGGCTTGCGAAATTTGGCCTCCTTTTATTGGTAGCCAAATCTGACTCCTATTCAGAATTTCGAAAAGGTCACGATATAGCCAAACGCGACATGCCTCCCCTCCTTTTAAGGCCAAAATGCGTGCCCTGCACGCCAGTTTCGCTTCCTTCGCCTTAACAGCATCTAATGCCACGTAACCCAAATGCACACGTATTTCACTGCATGTATCTTTTTTAGACAATCCCATCCTGAGTTGATAAGGTAACGGACATCCTTTGGTTAGCATGCAAAAGCAAACTTAACCACACCTGCGCTTTTCTGACCTCATTTTTATTTGCTCTAGAGGTGTTTGGTCGTGTGTGATTAACTCGGTAAAGCGTTGCTTGCTGTTGTTTCGTTTGATCTCCCCAGGGAAAGCGCTTCGAAGAAGAACGCGACGACCAGTAGGCAATTTGGGGCGATAGGGTGCAAGGGGAGGGTATGGAGGGGAAATTGGAGCGCGGGTTAATTGTAGGGGTGTGTAGTAGAAGCGAGGTTCTTTGACATGACCACACTGTCGTATTTCTAGTGTTCATGCCTATGAGCCACCTCATCAGAGCGTCAACTAAAAGCAATTTTGTTCCATTACTGGGATAAAATTATTTCTAAATCCTGATTGTGTCGTATGTGCAAAATGGGCCTGACGAACTTCAATTTTATCGTCTAACTCTGGTACGAAAGAAGTAGGTCAGTTTGGGTGCATGGAATGGCATTAATGTCACCGCGTTAATCGTATTAGTTCAAGTCCTAACTGTGCGCTAAATTGTCGTCGAGCACGGCAATAAATGCGTTTAAAGGGTTCTTGAGAAAAATCGGTGAACGTGTGTTTGCTGTCTGGTTTCAATCCCCCTAGTGCACCCGTTGGCATTGCGTGTAAGCATTAAAACGCATAAGCTACAGTTATAAATAGGTAAGTATGCCATGGCTTCACCCATTGCTTACTTTGTATTGTTTGCAGACCAGCGGAAATTGTGGGGCAGATATGGCTAAAAATGATATATTTTCCCTCAACTAAGGCGCCTTTTAGTGAGAGTTGTTGTGCGTATGTGTAACTTAATCTCAAGAACGCTTAGGGCTTAACACGATCTAGACACACTTTTCTTATCTTGAAATGCAAGACCTAATTTGCGTGTAGTTGCACTGTCGTAGCCCCTGTTATCGGATTTACGGCACTCTAAGGTTGCCATCAGTAGATGCACTATTTGAGCAATTGTGCCGGTTAGTTTTGTCATCATCGGGCCTTGTGCTACTTAGGCAGGACTCAACACCGAACAGTCGCCGGAAAAAAAAACTAGCTAAGTCGTGAATAATGCTGTAGAACAAGTTACTCGGAGAGAAAGAAGAGGAGCTGGCCTCCAAGCGCCTTTGTTTTCCTCCCCCTAGTGCCCTGCTTTTTAACCTTGTGTTTGATCTGGTGCGCACCTCGGCCACACTCCGTCGGCAGTTTGCTCGAACGAACGGTCTCCTGGTTTTCGCGCAAGCCCTGTGGAAGTCCTCTCCAGTTCACCTCTGCGAGACCCTCCTCAATGGAATCCTTGAGGCCACTCGCTACCTAACACGCGAAATCCTGGCCATCTCGGCCACAACCTCGCACGCCGATAAGGCCTCGCGACCGGCTCTCGCCACATTATCGACTTTGTTCAGGCAGATCTTCGATAAGCTTCTGTTCGCCCACAACCTCTGGTTGAGGGCTCCCATCAAGGTAAGGCATCTAGCCCGCGTTTTCCCCATCCCTGGTCAGTCTTATGCGATTTGCCATTTTTAATCCCAAAACCCAGAATTTTAGTGTTTGGCTTTGCCTGTCTTCGATAGCCCGCGTTTTGTCCCCAAACCTAAAATCTGAACCCCTTTCAACTTTTACCGCTCTGCGATGTCGAGGTTCTCACTACCAATCTCGTCTGCACTATTTGCCTTTGTTACAATCGGCCAACTTTTCATAGCTGTTAAAGAACTTGGTTACTGCTATGACAACGCCTTTTCCAGTAGACGTGAATGTCATCAAGAGGGACATTAGTGTTCACTGCCCAAAGATCGGTGTGATTGGCGCATTTACAAGCAATGTCAGTGAAAATGCGTAATCTTATTTGTCTATAACATTTGCCTTGGCTTTTCTGGCGCCCTAAAATGTGGATCTAATTCTTTATCCACATTTTCACCGTTTGCAGCCAGCGGCTAAACTTGCAAAATTCACTCCGCGGAAGCGCCTTTTTGGGTAACCCAACCTGAATGTCTGTTTTATGGTCATTACTGTAGCCACTGACAAAATTTTGGAACTACCAATGGACACCGACAGTCGCAGCCTTTTTCATACTTGCCTCTCGTCTTGTGGTTCATTTGAGTTTCCCACTCGCCGTGCCTTTCACAAGTTATGGAGTTACGGTCACGCTCAGACGGATGGTGTGCGTTCCTATGTTCGTGAGGTTACCAGTGTGTGGATCACTAGTGCGGAGGTCGTATTGCTTGCGTTAAAACCATGTCGCTTATTTGTGCCCAACCTGAAGTAGTTCTGTGACTGTTTTCACATTTTTTTATACTGGCGTGTTTTTTTAAGATATTGCAAGGTAAATTCCGGCTACAGTGACCTTCCGCTTCGTCAAGGTCGCTCTCACTATAATCAGGTGGATATTTTCCTAATGACATCATCCCATTATTGCTAATGCCTACGTCAGATCGAATACTCCAGGTGCTCAATTAAACCCATAATTCGTTCTAGTAAGTCAGCACAGCAACAGTGCCGACGTACAAATCAAGCCCTTGTCCTAGCGTCGGATTAGGCAGCATAACGCGTCAACTTTGCGGTGGGGAGATAGCAACACTTGTTTGCACCAGCCACCAGCCACCACCACCCTCCACTCCGCCTAACAACGCCCAAAATAGCGCGTGTGAGGCGCGTTCAACTTGAGGAGAGGCAACCGAGGCGTCCATTGGGCGACAGTTCGGTGGATTTTGAGGAGCGCGGGTTGCGATCGAGTGGGGGGGGGGGGCACACACGGACACCCCAACGCCACCAGCTGCGACTCATCACATGTGACTCGACCTCACACGGTGCCACATGACCTCGAAGCGTCGGAGACCTCAACGAAGGCGCGAACGAGCTTACACGGCATCCACCCACCCACCCAAATGTCAGTGCTCCTCGGTGTCACGTGGTGGCCGCCGTTTAAGGCCTGCGAAAGTGCAAATGGTTTATCCATTCGGTCACGACGCCAACCGTCATGGTACTTGCGGGACACGTCAATAAATGGCGTGCAATGGAACCCCAATCGATGTGTTCGTGACTTGTCGCTAAAACGGCAGATTATTTCAGGTTTTAAAGTAAACGCACTCGTACATTAAAGGTGCTTCAATTCAACATGCATTGGTCTGATCGATCAATCACGAATTTGTCATTGCAAGCCACTTTGCTGACTTTCACAAATTTACAAGATTTTAGATGTGTTTGCCTTTTCATACCTAAAGGTGACATTTTGCCACCAATTAGTGCAAGTTGTTTACACAGGACTTCACCTGAATCCCATACCGACTTGGAATATCTTGTGTTGCTTTTTGCGTGGGCATTGCTTGCAGTGTGCGATTCATCCAGGGCTCTGAGTTTTTTATCGCTGTCGCAATTTTTTCTAAAATCTGCTTCCTTGATGTCTGCTTCAAGGATTATATTTCGTTAAAAGGTCTGCCATGGATTTTTACTTAGTTTCGTTGTGTTCGTCCTGTTTCAGAGTTCCTAAAAAGTTTGTATTGGCTGTCTATTCTAGTTTTGTGGGGGCGTGCCCACCGATGATTCCTAGGAGTATCTTCGACTTTTTTGTCTATGGGTTATCTTTAGTTGAAGTCTGGGATGTTACTTGACTTTGGTTCACACTCTGCTGAAAAGTTCCTGAACCCAAACGTTACCAAACCAAAAAGGGACATTTTTCATTTGAAATATCCTAAGAATTCCTCATTACTGAAATGCCTTGCTTCCCATAACTCTCCACTTCTCGTAATGAAACTCCATTTGAACTTCAGAATAAACACCTCTAACGACTCGCCAGAAGTTCCCCTGCCAGTACCTTAGTCGAAGAACTTTTGCACTTTTTGGCAGATCGAATCCTTAACTTGCTTGAAAGTTGGTGCTAGTTTTGTTAACACTTTGGTGCCCGTATGCTCTAATAAACCCGTTTTTTATCCTCTCTCGACACGCCAGCCCAAGGTGTTGATTCCAATTCAACCCATGTTTGGGTGGATTTAAAAATGCCGCTGTAAGCTCACTTACTTAGCCAACGATTGGTCCAATCAGGGCTAGGCCCGGACCCCACACTCATGACCGAGTTTTCCCTGACTTGGTAGATTCTGCACTTAGCAGTCTAATAGTCTTGTTCTGCAGAAACTCGGAACCTTGTCAACAATTAGTAGCAAACACGGTTGTAGCGTAGGCTGTCGTGTTGCGGTGGTCGCGCAACTGCTCCCCTCTTTGCTGGTCCGATTGCTGTCCCAGTTACGTGGTTAGCGGGTTGTTAATGCAAGTGGTTGTCAATGCCCAGGCCTACATATGGGTTGAGTTCACATCGTATAAATGACTGTCTTCGGTAAGCCTCCTACCCACCCAATGCTCGCCCCTCACTTTTATCTATTACCAGGTGCCATTGGTTCAGCGCATCATGCTTTCTTTGGCTTTTAAATCCACCGGGTGATTGCGTAGTGCCCCGACTTAATTACTTGAGTAGTTAGATTCTCTGCTATACACAGGCATCTCAGATCACCCGACTGGCTGTCGGTTTTTTGTCTACACTAGGTCGTGTGGTGTGTCCGCTCCTTCGTTCCTGCTTACCTCGTGAAACTAAACCGTGACTTTTTTTATCATTGTACTAGGCAATAAGTGTTTCTGGTGCTTGCGTTTGTTTACACCATCTTCTCTCCCATTTGAAGGTCCAAGACCGCCTGTACAGCTTCCTGGCCGACGAATTCCGAGTTGACCTGCTGGGACAGCCGGGCAAGACGATCGTGGCCACCACGTTGCACGCCATCAAATACTGCTTCTGGATTGTCAAACCCACGGAAACCGTCGTTAGCACCTCACCAAACTCTTCGCCAGGTGAGTGGGTAGTTTTCGCCAGCTCGAAAAGTGCGTTTCAATCATTACTCTTATCCGTAAGCCTTGGAGAGAGCAGTTTTTGGAATGTCGTGTGGGTTTAATTTGTGGATATATTGTTGCCTCGAGGGTACTTCTATCACCTCAAAATTGGATTGTGTCGGTATTCTATGTCTAGAACTAAGAATTGGCTGTCTTCATTCACATCCATATTCACACCCCCAAGATACTTGTTACTCCAATGTGGTGTTTATTAAAATCAGTCTTGAATAAAGTGACGCTGGAAAGTAATATGTGATAAATAGCGCAGTTTTTGTATCCCTAATCTTTGATATTTAGCAATTCGACTAACAAGAGCCCGCACTGATGTCTTTCAAACAGGGAGTTATGCCAGTAGGGATTGTGTTCAGTAGATGATAATTATGCGTTTCAACCGGATGGTGAATAGGTGTCCCCCGTAATTGAATTGCGCACGCACTTGTTCCGTTTTTCCCTCTCTGACGTTGTTTTGCGAAGTCTTGAGAACTGAGATCCGTGTTGAGCGCAGTTTTCGCGTTTCAGGCTACAGTTACGTGAGTGTGTGTTTAAGCCGAAGCATGGTCCCCAAGCCCACAGGTCAGGTGGCAAAAAAGCTAAAACACGCTTTCTTGGCCCTTTTTAGTGTATTCGATAAAACGAAAAAATTTTGTTAACCCACTCGGAAAAGAGGTCGTATTTTTTGTATCCACTTGTTTTGGCATTTTTGTGGGACCATGTTATTTTACCCTATTTTTATTTTTTTTTTCGTGGAAATTCCCATGATGTCTTCTGTTCCTCCACTTGGTCCGAAATCGCTCCGCATCGTCTCAGGGCTTTTGAAATTTGCAGGTGTTTTTTCAACGAACCCCTTTTACTGAGACTGTTTTTAATACACATCACCTTTGTGTGTGTTTTTTTGGCCCACGCTGTATCGACGAGATCACGAAGCACAAGTCGAACCCCACTTGACGAATAGATGAAGTGTGGTCGATGTTTAAGTCTAGAGCAAAAGTGGTTGTTTCTGGCGATTTCAGAATGACCACTGATTCTGATGGTGTGGAGACTGTGGCTCGAAGGGCCACAGCACACCCGTTCCTCACTCTTAACACAGCATTGCTCCAACTTTGATGTATCACCCTGACACAGCGCTTCACGCCTCTTCTCATGTTTCGTGTGACCGAATGTTGTGAATAAGTCGGCGATGAGAAATCGCGCAGCCACGAATTGCCTCTTATTTATCTGCCTCTTGTCATCCTTGCAGCCGAAAGGCCTCCTGCGAAGTACCTGGCTCGAATCCGCTCTAACCTGTTGTTCTTCATAAAACCACTGATCGTGCAACAGCACCAGCCCACCTCAACCTCCCTCGTGTCCACCGGTGAGGAGCTTGATAGCCTTCTCAACTACCTTTCCACTGTCAAAGAGGTAAAGTTGTTTCCCTTTGTTTACCATACCGTATCCTAGCAACCCAGCAAAACTTGCTTGTATTTTTGTGTAACGTGTGTTCGCTCTCTAAGTAAACGCAAGACGTGACTGTTTTGCAATATTGGCGATTAGCATTGCGTGTTCGCAGCTCCACCGATTCTGACGATTTTCCAGCCTACGTTTATGTTGGATTTATCCAGAACCCCACTGTAGTTGAGGTCTAGCGTTATCGATTAAAAATGCTAGCGGCGCATATCTCGTTGATCTCAAACCCTAGCGTGGCAATAAATCATCCACTAGGCTAGCGCCAGCGATGCATGATAAAAGTTTCGGGTTTGCTGACAATCCTCGTTCATGTTACTTCGTGACCCTAACCTTCACAAGGCTCTGTGGTTTCGTGTTCATCCACATCTTTTGGCGTTACCATCATCGTGACGTCTACCAATGTGGCTGGATCTTTTAACTGAGCTGTAAAATATTTTCTGTAATTTTGCGCAACCCCACAGCCCGACAATTTGCGCGATGTCCTCTACTTTACGGTGGTCCTCATGTCGCAGTACCCGGCCGTTATGGTGCCCTGGTTTGACAAACACGACGGTATTCAATGCGTGTTTCAACTGCTCGCATTGGATGACGAGGAGTCCCGACTCTACGCCCTCAAACTGCTCGGCTACTTTTTGAAGTACAGCAAGGAAAAGTGAGTGTGTGTGTGTGTGCAAATTATGACTTGATTAGGGGTGAAGAACCCGGATTTGTGTCGACGAGCCTTCTCCAGATTATGGGCTTTTATGACTGCAACACTCGATTACTCTTCCAGCACATTTCTGCCTAGTTTGTGCACTTAATGATCGCCAGATTTCCAAGGTTGTTTCATTTGTGATATGTGATGGCGTAAGTTGTTAAAATACAAACACATAGTTCTCTGCCAGATTACATGTGGTAAAATAGATGGCTTTAATTGCAGTGGAATCGCATATGAATTGCGAGGCTGGGTCACACTAATTTCTGGTGAAATGATATGCCGTTTTAGCGAAGAATCACGAAAGCGTCAATTGGGGTTTCATCACACGGCTTTTATCGATGTCAACTGCCAATACAATGATGATTGTCGTCTTAGCCGTTGCACAGAATGGGTAAATCACTTGTACTCTCGCTGGCTCCAAACAGCGGCCACCATGAGACCCAGGGAGCACTGACATTTGGGTGGGTGGGTGTGTGCCATGAAGGAGCGCTCGTGTCTTCACCGGGGTCTTCGAGTCTTGGCGATCACGTGGGGGTGAGCGATGTCGACAGGCCGACGTCGAGTCACGTGTGATCAGTCGCAGATGCTGGCGTTAGGGTGTCCGTGTGTGCCTCCCCCCCCCTCGATCGCACCCCGCGCCCTACACGCGCGCCATTTCGAGCATTGTTAGGCTGATTGGGGAATTGTGGTGTCTGGTGCAAACAAGTGTTGCCATCTCCCCACTGCAAAGTTGACGCGTTATGCTGCCTAATCCGACACTACGACAAGGGCTTGATTCATACGTCGGCACCATTGTCGTGCGAGATGGGCCACTTCGCACCACGTTCAAACAGTTCTGTCACCGGCCAGAAAAAAAATTGGTCTTCAGTCGCGATATCGAGTTTCCTTCATGTTATTGCCATCGGTCGTAGCAAAACACTGCTGGAGGTGTGGAAACGTGTGAAATTACTTCGTTGGTCTTCTTAATTCACGGGATTCCCTCTTTCTGTGCCGTTTTGTTTGTGCCTAGCAGCAACCAAAAGTCAATGTGAAGATTTTGATATCTACTTGTTGCCTTTGTGCGAAGATGGGTTCTCGTGTTTGCCGTTCACGTGTCAGTGGTTTCAATCTACGCCGTTTTCTCCACCAACTTCATCATTTATTTAGGCGCAAGCAGGAGTCCATTGGCCAATACAGTGTCTTCAGTCTCCTCTGTGACCGGTTTGCTGTGGTGTCGCCAGCTTTCACAATGAAGGCCTACAACGTCTTCTTCGAGGTGCGTCTCAAGCCACTAATGTGCTCGGAGCTATTGTGCGGTGTTCCTAGGCGGGGTTATATCAAAACCAGCCTTAACACACTACTTTATGCGTCACCATACAGAGAGAGGTCCTTGTTTGCTTTTTAAAAGCCTATTTACCCCAGTCGATATCGTAGGCAATCGTCGCACGCTGCCGTCCTCTTCCATTTTGGCTAAGTTTTTTTAAATAAAATTGGAATCTGTTTACCACCGATGCACCAGTTAATGTAGGGATGTAGTTTCCTCCTAATCCTTGTCCACTTCCTGCGTGCGCATGACGGTTTAGTGGTGAGGCAGATGCGGATTGTTAAACAACGTAAAATAATGTGTAATCAGGGCTTGGATCTTATCGGATAGCAAAATTCGGTTGCCATTACGTGGCACCCCACGATGTGACCTGGCGAACGAGAAATGCCGTCAGTGGAGACTGCCGTCAATCTAACCGTTGGCCTGCATGTGATGGTTTGTCAACAACCAAACATCGCCACGTAGTTTGATCATTTGACGCGGTTTGTGGTAAATTTCACTGGCTGTGGGTTGGTGGATTGAGATGTTTGTTCCTGCCTTTACCTTTCGCCTTTCCACTTTAGCTCTTGACAGAGGATGTCACGCTGCAGTTGACAAGCGAGATGCTACCCAAACCCAGCCCAACTCACAGAATTGAAAATCCAGGTAATCTTACGCTCAACCATTTCATTATTCTTCCTCTGCTGCCAATCAGTATACACGGCTTTTGGGTAGAGCAAGTCATCACGGCGTTAACACTCTGGCCGTCCGCATGGCTGAACGAGTGGAAACCGAAGTGATTAACTCACGAAGCTGTTTTCAACTTTTTTTTGGATAGCCGACAATCGCACCGGGCTTAACGTGGACCGTTGCTTTTTCATTGTAAGCTCGTTGTGGCCCCTAGTTCAAGCGTGTGACGGGGGAATTCGGATGATGCTGTTGGATGTCGGCGCACGTCTGGCCTGTCGTTTGTTTCAGCGACCTCCCAGTTGTGATCAGGTGGTTTTTTTTCTGGGGGTGCTTAAAGTGGGCGTGAAACAAGGGCGCGACGCACAACCGAGCGGAGATCTGGAAGCGGCGATTATCGTCAGACCGCACAGTGTGGTTGACTATCACAGGCATGACAAACGAACGAGAGTATGAATTCAGGTCAAGTGGGCCACAGGGGTTCGGATTTGGTTGGTGCAATAAAAGGAATTGATTTGGCGTACGGGGAGTCAGACCTGCATGTGGCTTGATGCGGGGATGTTGTTGGCGGTATCGCTGGAGGCTGCAAGGGTCAACGGGCACACCAGAAGTCATCCGCGTCATAGAAATAGCACTACGGTATTTAATCAATGTGAGACCTCCGATGAAACACACCGATCGATTTCCTGCTTATTTGTCACCTTGGTCTCACCCCCGTCTCGAATCGCGTCTCTCGTGGGAAAGGTGAAGTTAACTTACGCAAGTGTTTACATTTAAGCCTTACTCAAAACAATCGCTCTGCTCATCATCCACTCTAAACGCACCTCGGAGTTGATGAATGTTCGCCAAATCTTCCTGGAACATCTTCTCTTCCTGTGTCTCAGCTCCGATGCTAATCGAAGGTTAGTTTTCTAATGGGTTTGTTTTGTTTATTATTCAGATTTCCGAAAACAGAATCTAACACAGTGGTGTAATTCACATTCCCCCATCTGTGGTCCTACCTGCTTCCTTTTAATGATTACTTGTGAAAAGTAAAATTTGCATTCCTCTTAATTCCTTAAAATTACCGAAATGTTAGGTTTTCGTGTTCAGAGCATATTCTCTTCACGCTTCTGTGTAGCAATTAAGTAAAAAACGGGCGATCGTAGCTCTGAAATGGTGTTTAAATGGTCGCGCTGATGTGTTATTAGAGGTATATTGTGGGTGGATGAATGAACGTGGGGGCGTTAATATGGCGGTTGGTGCTCTTATCTTTTTACTTCATATCCTTGCGTCTTCACAAAATGCGTAATTTTGAGTTGATTTATCTCCAAGTCCGAGGCTCCCTGTTCCCTTGTCGACTCAGGACATCAAAGTAGAATATTCAACCAAAGCCAGGGGTACATTTTAAGCACTTTTCTGCTCATTACTTCTACGCAGGGCGATTTTGCAGATGTCAGTGTGGCAGGACTGGGTGATTGGACTGGCTTCACTGTACCCGGTGAATCGGCAAAACAGCTACGCTACGGCAACCGTGATGGAGATCCTGCGCTGCCTCCTCTACTACGCCCTGCGGTTCGAATACGGCGGGTGGCGTGTCTGGATCGACACGCTGGCGATCCTTCACTCGCGAATCGCCTTTGAGGAATTCCGGCGGTCGAGTCACCAGGTCAGTGCGCATCGCACAAACATTTGGTCTTCGGAACAGCCATTTGTGGAAATTTGAAGACTAGTGCAAGAGTTAAGGATCTGCAGTCAAATAACCCCATGAGTTACTAATTTGCCATTCACGAGTGCTTCACTGCAATTGCTTCCACAACATTCCTTCAAGCTCGTTTTGCGCTAAGTATCGAGTTACTCCTTTTCTGACTACCGGCAATGTTCAGGCTTCATCTGGTGTGTTTTTGATTGCGTGAATAAAGTGGATAAGTGACTGACTCTTTCTAACCTAGCATTTGTTAGAATCCTGCCCCTTTTGCTGAGAGCAACCCCTCTGTGGGTTATCATCCTCGACAGTAGTGAACAATTTTGGTTGCCAATGCATGGCTTTCAATTGTGTTTTGACTCAACCAGAAGCCTGTTATAGGAATGAAGTCTAACCTTCCACGCTCAGCTAAGCTGCGTGTTCGAGAAAGAAAGGGCTTCTCTGACGCCTAGGTTTCCAGTTTTTTTCCCTCTGCTTAAGAGCCGTTGCTCAATTGTTTTTGCATATTCTAGGCCCGTTTGGCTAACAACCACATGAGCGCACCGCCGAAGCCTACAAACGGTCGCGAAAATCAAGGCGTTGTAGTTTCTTCAGACGCGGCTTCGTCAGAAGTTGGTGACTCAATGGCAACAACTACCGTCGATGGTGGTGAGGCGGCTAATGGTACATACGAGAACATGACCCCAGTTGAATCGGCTGTAAGGGAGCTGATTGAAGACCTTCTGGACAAATTGGTGCATGAGATCGATAACTCTGAGCGGAGAAATGAAAATGTGGCCCCCGCGGCTGGAGACGGCATGGATGTCGACCAATCGAAACACAACGTGGCATGTAAGCTTTATTTACACTTAAATTATTCCCCTGTTGTTGGAGCTGCCCTTACAATAGGAAGCCTAAAAAGTAATGCTAACGCGAGAGGCAGATTGGTGAGTTATGGTTTTACAACCCGCTGAGCTCTGTCGTGTTTAAAAGCCAAGCACAGGAGCTCTTCGTGGCAAGCCGTATGTGCTACATTTGCCAGCGCAAACACACGTTCACACGGAATGTGAAGTCAAATACAGAGTCTGACCCGTGAGTCAACCACGTGCATGATGGATGAAGACGAAACTGAGTCGGTTTGACCCAGTCATGGGGTGTCGTGTGTTCAAAGTGCCTTACAAGACATCTCAACCAAGCGCTCTCAATGGTTTCTTAATTTCCATTGATTCTATTCCCTGAAGTCGCATCCAGTCTCCATCTGTGGATTCGGGAATGGTCTGCAGACACCAGACCTTTCCCTCAAAGGTCTCTGACACTTGTACTTTTGCAGTCTTTTTGACTTTCATGGATTAGCATGAAGACCTTGACGTGTCACACATCGATGCAACCAATGCCATCAGCTGTTACTGGGGTCGCAACCACGCACAGTTGTTCTGTCGAGTCTCGTAGGCGGCGATACACTGTGGAACTTATCCACACCCTTATTCGACTGTCGTCGCTCGTTTAGTCATAGTTGCCTGGTGTCCTCCATTGTGCTTATGCTGTAATGCAAGGCTGATATTTCGCCGTCAATTTTTTGCCCTTGCTTCATTTCAAATGAAGGTTTTCGATTATGTACGGAAAAAAACAGCACTTATTTTCTATGGAGCCCTGTTTCCCGCCTTAAACGATGCACACAAGAGACCTAGCACATTAAGGTTCATTGTAATCACAAACTGCGCGCAAATATGCTCAACATGATTTTAATTGTGTAAAGTGCTGCCTAACAGAGTATCTACCTGTATTTTGTGCTTCTCCCATGGCAGTATTTCAGACACATGTTAGCGTAAGCATTTCCTCGGGTAATACTGGACAGGCACGAATTCCAGTACCTTCAAATCCCAGTTCTTAGCGTCTTCGTTTCATCCTCTAGCGCTAAACCCTCACAGACCGCGCCGAGTCGCACAGAAAACCGAGCGAGTGCCTGTGGCCTTCCGAACACCGCCCTTCGCTTGGTCGTACCTCCATCAAATCCTCCTCGACAGCGTCCTACGCTCAATTGAGGATGAATTCCAGTAAGTTGGTAGTTGTAAAAGACTTTTACCCTGCCCAATTTTCACGTGTCACCGCCTCTCAGACTTGACTCTTGCTTACTTGGCGTTCCTCGGCTATTTGATCAATTTCGAATGTCGAAACCTTTTGTAGCGTTTGTCATGTTATTCCATTGCTTTACTATCTTGGTTTTTTTTTGGAGAACTATTCAAGATTCCCAACAGTAATAAGGACTCTACTTGATGTATACATTTATTGTCTGCTCTAATTATTGCCTTAATATGTATTGTTAAGGATAACCGATATTAAAATCGACCGTAACGGATTGCTTTTGCTGTTCTTCGACTTTGTCGCACACATTCACTCTTGCTCGTTCTGGTGTTATTTACACCTTCAGGTAGTTTGAAATCCAATCTGTAATAAAAGCTTTAATGTAACAAGCCTCATTCGTTCGAATCTCAGAGCTTCACCAAATCTTTTTTTTTCAAAAAAATAAACAAACGGGTTTCATGAAAAACAAGGCAAAGAACGAGAGCCAAAAACGTGGACAAAAACCACTGCGAAAATATTGATAGATTGTGTGTGGCAGTTTTTTTTATTAGTCTTCAAGTAGTTTGCCTTCGTAAATCTAAATTCCATGATCTAGCAATAAATTTTAACCGTTTTGAAGTCAAGTCTTTTTTTGCACATGCCTTTGCTTCATCCTATTTGTTGCGGCTTGCTGGTTTCCGAGTTATTGCATTGGTGAGCGTTGACGACGACTTTTGTGTCTTGCCCTGTGGCGAGCGATTCGCTCCATCTCTACTGCTGACCCGGCCACGAGCAGAGGTGGCTCACCCGTCAACTCGTGGAACAATTAAGTGTCCACTCTGAGATGCTTCCGATGAAATTAGGCTCCATCCCTGGACGGTTTTTCGACGGGAACCTGACCTCAATGCATTTTTGATGCTTTCTCGATTACATTTAAATCGCCATTACCTCTTTCATTTTTAGTACCAGAAATTGCTACATAGTCGTCCTGTATTTTGTCAAATCCCTTCCCCTAATTTTAATTGGCCAGTTTTCTGTGAGCTTTCAGCTTTTCCCTAGTTCATTACTCGACCTTTCCTGTCAATATCTTTCGCTAACATACCACAAATATTACAAAATTTGGGAATCTTCTCTGTTCGTGTTTCTTGTGATGGTTTTAATACATATTTAACTTCGATTTTTTGTGTCCATCATAGTAGTCTGAGAAAGCGGGGCATATTTTTACTCGTAAACGCCCGCTTCTCTACGCACCTCATTTTAGACTAGTTGGCTTTTGTACTAGCTCATCTACTGTCATTTTATACTTGACCTTTGTCTTTCCCTTTTAGCAACGTCGCCACCTTGTACAAGCCTACGAAGGGGTCGGACGGGAACACGGCCGCGACGTCCAGACGCAGTCCGGAGACTGAGAGCCTGAACGACGACAGCGGGGAGTGTGACATCAGCGCAGAAAACCTGCACCACTTCATCAACGAGCTTGGCAATCAGGTCTACGCCATCAACCTGATCCACCTCATTTCCCAGCTCTCCGACAGCCTCATTACTGCCTGCGGCGGCCTCCTGCCTCTTCTCGCTGCCGCCACGTCCCCTTCGGTCAGTCTGGTCCCATCCAACTGTTGTGCATTCCGTGCACCGTCTTCCAATCGCATTTGACAATCTGCCTTTTCGTTCCGTGATCCCCTGCACTACAAGGAAACATGAAACCACTTGTCACATTTTGTCCGTGGACAGTAAAGTAGCCCTTGTGATGTCGTAGCTAAGGGGTCTTAGTGGATGCCCCCTCATTAGCCATGTATGGTAATGTCGCCCCCTGATGAAATCCTCTTTTTGTGCTAAAGGCGGTCACTCCTTTTACCCCCCTCCCTGTTGCCAAAAGCGCCGCTGCTAGAGATGAGGGTAGAGTTATGCGAATTTATTGCTCGCATCGTAGTGGTTGTTTGCCTAATGTCTGCCACCACTCCGCTATAAAACATTGTTTCTCCAAAAATTGCTTGCTGAATGCCGTCATGCGCTTGGAAAAAGCTACAAAGACAATCGATTTGCATAATTGTTAAATTGTACTATCAAATGACACTGATTAGTGTGTAATTTTGCCTTAATAATAATAATAGATGAACTGTGTGAGCTAATGTATCCGTTTTTGAACCTCCGCGTCTAATTGAAGCAAAAAAGCACGCCACCGTTGTGATCTTATTCGAGAAGCATGAACCATGTAGAATTTGTGAACAATTGCGGTTTTTGTTGTGTGGTGAGGCGGATTTGAATCGTGGACTTGCGTGCCACGGTGGGAAGTCACACACGCACACCTTCACAGTCTAATCGGCGTGGTTTTTCCGCTGTAGATGGAACTGGAATTGCAGGATTCAGCCAGTGGTTTGTCCTTGGAAGCAGCCTTTGGATTTCTCCTGCGAGTGACTAACATTGCGGATGTTGTTGTCCTGTCGACTTCCGTGAATCTCGGGAGCCTAGAGAAGGAGACTGGGATGAATTCTGGCGGCATTATTCGCCAGTTTCTTCGTTTAGGTAAGCTATTTTTGGAATTCCACGCAGCACACACACACACACCACCGGTAACTTGGACCACGTGAATTTGAAGTGTGTGTATTTTGTTTACTGGCGGTGCGCTTTTCTCGGCTTCGGTTTTTGCAAAATCAGTCCAGTAGCGTTAGTGACCGTCCGTGGTTGGCTCTACTTCGTAAATACAAGGTATCAAGTCACGGGGTGTCGCCGTCTCAACCCCCAGGGGGAGTTAGGCACGATAGCTAAGTCTTGTGACTCCGTCAAGGGCTTAATGTTGGCACCGCTTTTCTCCAGTACCTTTAACCAGTTCTCATGTTTGATTTTGAGTGTATCACTAATTTGCGTCAGTAACTATCACCTACATCGAGCGGTTTCGTGCCATTGTTGTCCACTTAGAGCTCACGCATCTGTCGGTCTGTTCCTTGTAGTGTTTGTTGTCCACTTCTGACAAGTCGCGATTGACACTAATCCCCTTATTTAATAGTTTTCAGGGGTACAGCTTACTACATTACAGTAAAAGTGAAAAAAAATGTAAATTAACACGTGGGTTTTTCTGTAACCCAAACGGTGCTTCTTGTTAAAATTTTAGTCATTCGGTGAGTTCGTGTACCACTGTACCTCCCAACATCCTGTACATACGCGTACACCTTAAAAGTGTCCCTCTTATAACCGGTAATGTGCATAGACCACACCCACACCCGTGCTAACAGCAACATCCTGCGACCTTGTACAGCGTTTGTCGCACAACCACATGACTCAACACTGGTCTCGTCCTTTGCCTCGATTCGCACAAAAAACTCACGCGCACGAGATGACCTCTGTTAGCGGCTTGAATTAACTTGTGTGCTCCCCTCCGTCTCTCGCCCTCTCAAAATCCCGCCAGTTGCGAATCTCGGAGCTCTGTCGCTTCCACTCGGGTGCGTCGTGCCGCCTTGTTTCGTGCATCGGCGTGTAGTGAGATGTGTTTTTAGCATGGGCGATTTCTTATTCGGATCATACCGCTGGTCACTCTATGTTGGTAGTCCTTATCAAAAGTCTAATCTGTCAAAAGGCTCTTAAGAGCCATAACGATCGTCTGATGTCGGATGGACGTGTTTGTAGTCGACTTTAATAACTTCGCAAATTGTGCATCCTTGGTTTCTTATCATTTAACATATTGCCAACGCAAATTTGAACTTGGGTCTTAGGAACTCACAGTCGTTCCTATCAAAACACTCTCGGCATGTTAATACCGTCGATAATTCTTTGCAACTTTCGGCAACCAGCAAATCACTTGGCTGCCATTTCGCGTTTCACTTCTTCGGGAGTTTGCCAGCCAGACAGTTAAAATCCAAGCGCGTAATTGTTGCCTCCAGACACCTCACCGTTTAGCTGGTGATGACTGTTTTTGTAGATTTGACCTGATCTGCATGTGACTTTTCAGTGATTACACAGTTGCTGACATTATGAGTCTGGTGCAAAGCGTTGTCTTTCACCTTATCAAGACCGGTAAATCCGAACCGAGGTTTTGATGATTCACCTCGTGTTTTCGTTTTCGATCGGTTGGTTGTGTTCTCTAACGCTGCACCACTACTAGTTACCCCTGTTCTCCTTTTGCTAGCATGTACGTGCGCCGTGCGAAATTGTCTCGAGGCGCGCCTCTACGATTTCCTGCCGCTTCCCGACGTCCAAGCACAACTTCGCGGTCAGTCACGTCGTCTCAGCTTCCTACCGGTCACCGCGGCTGTGGATGCAGCCACTTCTTCAACTGCTGCCAGCAAGCCCCAGACAGACCCACTTTCAGTGTTCCACTTCTTCGGTCTGCTAAGGCATAAATTGGAGTTGATTCAGCGACTCGCAAACCCTGTGACTCTGCCTTCCTCTGTGAGTCCACCCACCACAGAGGTCGCCGAGTTTCTGGAGCACCTGGATCCTCTGGCGCCCTGTCTGCAGAAACTCGTGATTGGTCTCCGTCCGTCCGTTTCTCATTATGCGTCAGGCTTCATGGTTAGTGCAATGCGCGCTCTTAACCTGTTTTACTACGGTTTCTTGTGTGTTGCCTATTTGCGCTTATCGACTTGTGGATTTGTGGTACACACAATGCTTGTGCATTCACGCCCGCCCCCACTGCTAATGCGTACAAATAAATATCGCCACTATCTGAACTTGCTCGGAAACGCCTGTGCAAAGCTGCCATAAATCTGCATCTGCACTCTAACACACGTTTTGTTTTGAGAATAACAATGTCATGTGTGTGTGTGTGAAAAATCGTTCTGCAACCTTTGCACTCAAAGTTGATCGTCTGAAGGCTGGACGAGTTTTGGCGTGTCTATTCACGGCATTCGAGAAATGTTGTGTGTGTGTGTGTGCGTGTAGGGCGTTTATTTGTCCCTCAGTCGTGCTTTTGTTCGCCTCTCCAGGGTGGAATATTCGACAGAACAGTCGTCAATCCGCTGCTGAATTTCGTCTCCCTTCTGCAAAACGTCGATATTAATAGGCTACACAACGTCATTTACAAGGATGAAGTAAGTTGTGATTTTTTCTTAGAGATTTACTCTTCAACGTTCCTAATTTTTATTACGGATTCGTTTCATGTAACGAAAAACTCATTTTTCGTGGCGGTTGGAGTCCCACACATTCACGAAACACGATCGCAGACAATGCGATTAACTTGAGTGGTGACCAAACAGGCCAACTTAATAGCTCCCTGGCACTTGAGCCCTTGATGTTGTCTTTTTTATCGTAGGAGGACACGAGACAGGTGCACTTCATTGTTTTGGCCGTGACGTACTTCCTCTCTGTTCTCATGGTATCCAAGTATCGTGATCTTCTCGATCCCAGCAATTTCTTGAAGTTGTGTCATCGAAGGACTTCCTCTAAGGTCGTCAGTGGCAGTGACAGCGTCGACGGTTGCAGCAATCAGCCGGCTTCTCCACCTTCATCAAAGTATTCTCATGTCGCCTCACCTGCTACCGCTTCAAGAAATGATGCTCAATCAGCTGAAGGTCAGTCATTATTGACGATTCCTTTTTGAGAAATACAATTGTGCGTTCATGCATCAATAATAGTGTCACGGATCTTTTTTGGTCGCTGCGGGCTTAAATTACGAATTAAGTATGAAGCAGCGTTGGGATTGCAAACATGTTGATGAGGTGATTTGCTTAGTATCTTGAAGAGCACTTAGTGTAGTGTAGTAAATTCTGGGTAACTTAAGAATCACATTTAAAACAGGCATGTGCATGAAGTTTGTCATCATTAACTGATCCCGGATTGAGCCTGGCATCACCTATATTTTTTCCTTGAAACGCGATGACGAACCAACACGTGATTTCCGTCGTATTTAATCTCTTTTTGTCGATGCAAAATGACTTTTTTAATCTAGGGGTCTTGTCACATTATAGCTAGTTCTCTGACGTTGCTGATTCTTCTTTTAATTCAGATTCAAGGTCGCAAGAAGCATCGCCTGAGGAGCCTGCCACAGAAATCAAGTCAACTTCAAGTCAACCAGAAGACATTCATGAGGCTACAGAACCTAATTCTTCAGCTTCAGTTATCGAAGTGCCCGCTGCAAATGAATCAGCAGAGTTCGAGAAAGCAAATCAATCAGAAGACACTCGTGAGGCCACAGAGCCCAGGTCCTCAGCTTCAGTTATCGAGGAGCCCACTGCAAGTGAATCGGCAGAAGTCGAGGATGTGCGTGAAGGTGAGCAGAGTAAGAGCTCATCTTTTGAGCACGCTTGCTTGGGTTTGTTTTGTCAAGTCTTTCTTTTCTCCCCAGTTCCTATTTGTTCCCTTGAATCCTACTTTGTTTTCATTGGCTATCATTTTTTATGAAATTTCGAAGTGTTGAATTAACTTGCAGTAGCTTTTAGACTAAGCACAACCGCTCTTTTTTGATTGGTTGGTATCATCTGTTATCTTTCATCAAGTATCAATGCCAGGGGTCTTGTCTCCTGACGGATCTGCTTCACACCAACCCTCACAATGGCCTTTTCCTCGTCCGTTCAACTGTTGGAGTATATGGTCTGACAAATTGCCCTCTTTAAACTCACTTTATCGCATTGCCACTTGGCCTTGGTGCATGCAAAGTGCTCGTCAAACAATCCTGGTCCGCCCACTTGAAGTGCCTACCGCACACTGACCGTTTCCGACCTCCCAATCAGATATTAAAACACACGAGTCTATAATGTACTCTCTCTTATGTCGTCGCGTATTCATCGCTGTCATTGCTTTTAATTCAACCATCTTTTAAATCTTCACCAATTCCTTCGGCCTGTGTGCAGACTCGTTTGTAATCTCTTGGCTCAGGCAAATCAAAATTCTGTCTAGTCCAGTTGCCAATGTTTTTTCGAACTCCATAGGTTGTTCCGTTCAACAGATTTCTCAGGCGTCGAGTTCAATCTGTACTTTTGCACCTTTGTTAACCCAACATTTTGACCTTCCCATTTGTCGTGAATCAGTCTATGCTAAAGCCATGCAACGTGGAGTTTTGAACATGTCCCATCATAGGATCGGTTTTGGTGTGTTTACCTAAGTCTCCCGTAAAGATTCTTCATTCGTCCTAACTGAATTGTTGTTACATTTCGCCCGTAAACAGGAGCCACGCATTCAGATAACTGGTACCCCAGGTCCCTTGCCAGACTCTAGCTCCCAGACAAGGCAAGACCTCGAGCAGAGAGCCAAAGGCCGAGTGATCTGTCAGGATGTGCCCACTTACATAAGTCAAGGATGATCTCGACCTGGTGGATCAAGGCAGATTAACACAGATGGGGCCGTCAGTGGGGTGCCGCGTGTGATTCACCCACTGAAGTGTCGTGGTCAGGGGAATTGTGGAAGTAATGACGAAATCCTAACCCGCGATGAGCCGTTTTGGGGAATGTTTGATCCCCAACACTTGTTATTTGTAGAGTTGCAGACATGTTCTGGTGTTTTTAAAATGTTGTGCCATGTTACTTGGATGTCATGCTAATTCTTGCGATGCTGCTTCAGTTTCGGTGGAGGAGAATGCTAAGTCCACTGAACAGGAGGGGCAGGCGATTTCATCTGTGCATCAAGATGCGCCAGAACCCAACCTCTCTGTCTCCCCACCAACAGAAGAACCCGCCGTCTGCAGTGTCGTCGGTGGTTCCAGTCTAAGGGCCTCAACGAAGGTGGAGGAAGAGGAGACCGCCGCCACCACCCCCGCATTGGCTGGCAGTGATTTGGAAGAGCCGCCCACCACAACGGACCTCCCCGAGGTGATCCCCAAGGGCAGCACCATTGAGCCCTACACGTCAGGCACCGATCTCACCGAACACCTGGAGATGGCCCTGGGCACGGTGACGCCGCTTCTTAAGGAAATATTCTTCGATTTCGCCCCCTTCCTCTCAAAAACGCTGATCGGCTCCCATGGACAGGAGTTGCTCTCCGGTGGTCTCACGTCATTGAGAACGTCTTCAATGGCGGTGGAGCTCGTCATGCTCCTGTGTTCTCAGGCAAGTCAGGCCTATTCCACGTAATCATTATTCCTTAGCGAAGTTTCTGCATCTACTTTTCTTATTCCTTACATATCGGGCATTTCCACTAGGGTCACATGTTGCCTTCGTTTGCAGGAATGGCAGAACTCCCTCCAGAAGCACGCAGGACTCGCGTTTATTGAACTGGTGAACGAGTGTCGCCTTTTGGCCAAGGCTTCGCGGGACCACTTCAACAGCGTCGCCCACGAGGCCGACTTCATACTGGGTCGTTTGCGCACCCTCGATTTGAGTCGCCACGCCAACTTTAAGCACGCCTCCTCTCGCCGTCAGGTCCAACGCGTGCTCGAGTTCGACTCGCATCAGGCGCGACGTCTGGAGGCGGCGCACAATTGCGACGATGTATTCGCAGCTCACTGTTTGACGCTTGCCAACCACCTGGTGAAGTGTATTCAGGAGGCTCCACCGCTACTTCGGCGGTGTGAGGAGAAGTCGGTGGCAGCTCTTCAAAACCACACAAGACTGTTCTTGGAACGAACCAAACGGTAAGTGGATGCCATCTTTAGGTGCAACCAATTACCGCTAAAGTCGCTTTGAGCTATGTCGGCAGTCGCGCAAGATTAAGTCTACATTGATTATAAATTCCTCTCGTTGTTGCCACTTTTGGCCACAGAAGCTCTCCCCCTACATGGGTTATTTGCCCCCTGTTTTGGATTGGTAAACATCCCGCGGTTATTATGGGAGAGTCATTTGGTGTAAATATCCGACGTTTCCGCGCATTGCCTGTTTGCAGGGTAATAGCACGAATTTGAGAAGTTACATTACTTTTACTTGAATCTCTTGTTATGCGGACGAGTTGTGCTTTTGAAGCGTCAGAATGCCGACTTAGACGTAATATCGCCGCAAGGGCTTGCAAGCAAGCAATTTTGACGTTTTGTGACCTCGTTCGATTCCGGGGCAAATGTTGCACTATCGAGCCGCAATGTGTGCAATCTACCGTGCCTACTGTTTTCCAAGCAACATCTCGTGTCAATAATTCCTCCTTTTAATTCGCTTGCGAAACTCCTGAAATGTGAATGGGTTTATACCTCTCCCTCCAATCGTTCTCACGCATTTCGCGTGCTTACTTAGCCAGTTTACCGATCCATTGTATGTCGCTATTCTTTTGTACTTTTTGTCCAAAGACCGTCCAAGCGTATATTCTACCGTCTCGACTCCTGGGAAGACGACAGCCGACGACGTCGTCGCCTAGTTATCAATCCCTTCGGTTCCACTCACCCTGAGGCTGTGCTGCATTCGCCGCCACAAGCGTCGAACACGTCCCACTCCACGGATGCCCTGCCGGCTCCCCTGTTGATCGACTCGAAGGCCTTGAACCTGCACTCGCAGGAGGATAATGCGGATGACGCTCGGCGCGTGAGTGAGGACTCCCTGCCACCCCTGACTCCCACTGCGACCAGCCCCTTCGCAATCAACGAACCCGGGCTTGTCCCTGGGCTGGTTTCGTTGCATCGTGACGTGTTCACCTTTGGGCAACTGGAATTCGATGCTAGCAGTACGTTCCTCCTCTCACCAATCAACTTCCACTTGTCAAATCGTTTCCTCTGAGTGAATAAATGTGCACCTTAAAAAGTAACGCAAACCAATGCAATAAGTAGCACCGAAGATCCTGTATGAATGCATTATATCACATTTTTTCATAGTTTTCAGTGCTTGTGCAATGTCTTTTATCAATTAATCAACTATCCGCCGCCTAGACGGGGCCTAGCAACCATTCCTGTTACCATTGTTTCCCAGTTAGTCTCTGTGGCATTTTCATTTTACTTCCCCCATTGGGGTCTCACTGAACTGCAGTGCTTCTGTAACGCCACTGTAAAAAAAAACTTTGTTTCTGTCGCGTGACTCACGTAATTGTAACCGGCACGATTGGAATTAATTGTTAGCCCTTTCGTGTTACTTTTTCAACCAATTGTAAGCCAATTGCAAGACACTTATTCCACTCAGATCTGGAATGTTCTTGGGACAATTTTCTGGTTGTGATAAATTCAATTACAGTTGTCGATTTGAAGCTGTTCATCGTTGTCTTGCTGTATAGGGATGTTTACGAGAGATTATTAATGTCGAAAAATCTCAGTCCGACTCCTTAGTGTGATATACTCGCCAATTAAACCCTATTTTCTAGAAATCTTATTAACTGGGCTTTTAACTATCTCTTCTTGGTGTCTAACCTAAACATTTCAGTCACCAATCGGTCTGTGGTCGTTGTTTGTGGTAATGTTTCTGGAGTTAGTATTTTTGTAGTGACCGGCGTCGGAACCGCGCTGATGCCTGGTTTCGTAACCAATGCGTACCCCTTTGCTGTTTTCGGATTGGCTGTTTACCGTTTCTATTACGTACTGCAATCTGAGATTGAGTCAAAGTGAATTCTGTAGATCCATTTTGAAAAGTTCTAATTCCACCAATCCATCACAAGGCAAAAACACAGTTGTTTAGAGAGCAAGCTTTCACGCCGGCCTCACAAATGTAATGTTATCATTTTTCGCGGTTTTCCTTGGCGCAGTGTCACCAGTTCCTGAGAATCCAGGTTTGGAAACGCTGCCTTCGATTGTAAGCTTTTTTGATCTACTGCATCTAATTCGCATAGCCGAGTGTCTGGAATGCGTTGGTACACGCGTGGGCGAAAGTGGCTCTTCGTATTCCCGTGCCATTTGCAGATCCAGTTGTCGTCACCACGCCGTGCCAACTCATCGCCGCTGGCGTGGCTGTGCACGGAACCCTCTCCGTCACAGGCACCTACTTCTCCTTCAAGACGGACCCAACTCACGAGGAAAACAGGACTATTGATCCTGAGGTGAGTACTCCACGCCCCTACCTCCAATGTGGCTGACACGTCGGTCCTTCACCCCTCCCTGTCTTTAGTTACCCTTTTTTGTTACCGCGTAAAACATTGACTTCAGCGCTTGTGCTTTTCCCAGAAGAGCCATTAGACTACATTTTAGTTGTTTATTTCTTCATTATTTCAGTTATTCAAAGTTGATTCGGCCACGTGAACTCTTGTTGTTTTGGGGCAGTAAAATTCGTGGTGACCGGGTCTGAAGGGTGTTAATTTTTGTATAAAACTTGTATTCTACCACTTTCCTTCTAGGTTCTCGCCTACACTGGAAACCTCTACTCGAAGTGGCCCTTCACGGACATCCGCGCAGTATTTACGCGACGCCACTTGCTGCAGAATGTGGCCCTGGAGATTTTCCTGACCAATCGTTGTATGTTTGCTTGTTTTCTCACTAACACGTCCACATTTGTAACGCCATTGCGGCATTTGTTGTCTTCGTTTGTTTGCACTTCGCCGACCTCACGTAGTCCCCTTTAGTGGGAACCCAGCTTCCGAGTGAGCAGTAGTTGGCCTCGATGTTGCTGTGATTTGATTGGTGGTTTTTCGCTTTGTTGCAGCGTCGGTGATGTTTGCCTTGTCGGACCACACAACGGTGGCCAAGGTCGTCTACGCCCTGCCGCCTGTCGGCATCGGCGTTCGCTACGGCGTACCCCAGTCACACCGGGTCTCCCTGTCGGTGGGTCGGCAGCACTTCACTCTCTCCCACATCACCCAACGCTGGCAGCGCCGCGAGATGTCCAACTTTGACTACCTGATGTACCTCAACACCATCGCCGGACGCAGTTTCAACGACCTCAACCAGTACCCCATCTTCCCGTGGGTCCTCTCCAACTACACCTCGGACAAGTTGGACCTGAACGAACCGGCTAACTACCGAGACCTCTCGAAGCCCATCGGGGCCCTCGACCCGACGCGGAAAGCCTTCTTCGACCAGCGCTACGCCGAGTGGGACGACGAGACCCAGCCCCCCTTTCATTACGGCACGCACTACAGCACGGCGGCTTTCGTCCTCAATTACTTGATCCGCCTGGAGCCATTCACTACGCTGTTTCTTAATATGCAGGTTCGTTCACTACTGTTGTTTCATGCTGTATGATAATTTATTCACCTACTGTGCTTGTGTTTTTACACCCACTCTGACTTGGAGAATATGCCTTTGCGCTCTGAAATCATAATGTTCGATACTCGAGTTGTGATTGGCCAGCTCTAAATGACACGACAATCGCCCTCAACTTGGCCAGAGTTTTGATGTCGTAGCCGTCATGTTGTAGCCCAGCTAACCACACAAATAAACTCCCCAACGTAAGTCGGAGTCAAGCAATTTTTACTCCATGAGCCAAGTCTTTTGGTCCTCTAGTGAGATGCCTTTTTAGCTGATGACATTCTTGTGATATAATACTACGATTTACTATTTTTAGCCGACTTCATTATTGGCTGTTTAATCACCTGCAAGTTGTAATTTGTTTATTTAATCTGATAGTGTGGCTTTTTGTCGGTTGCATGGCTCTGCGATTCGCCTGTGTGGTAAATTCACAAGCCAGCTTATTCACATTGTGGGTCAAGCAACTGAAAATAAGAGGCGTGGTGCAGCTGAAATCGCAGTCTGGACGTCCGAGGTCCTCCAACATTTCGATGGCTTTCCGCTCCGTTATTCGTCATACTTTTAACACTTAGTAATTTGCATGAAACGCGTAGTTAATATTGAATTCTAAGGTTACGGGTGTTCTCCAAACGTTTGCCCGCTGATTGTATCGACTTGCAGTAAATACCGCACCACGATTAGAATAATGACCACAATTATTGCCGACATAAAAAACTCCTATCTAACTACGAATTTCGTCATTCAGTGCAGCTGAGCTGACTGGGATGCTTTTAACAGCGCCATTCCAAAGTTGAACTCGCCTGAAACTCGTGGATGTGTGTGTGTGTGTGTTGTAGGGAGGCAAGTTCGACCACCCGAACCGGTTGTTCTACTCGATAGAGGCCGCGTGGTCGGGTTGCATGCGCAGCTCAACGAACGTCAAGGAGCTCATCCCCGAGTTCTTCTACCTGCCGGAGATGTTTGTGAACACCAACGACTACGACCTGGGCAGTCTGGAGGACAAGACCAAGCTCGGCGACGTCGTCCTCCCTCCCTGGGCCAGCAGTCCCGAGGAGTTCGTCAGAATTCACCGTCAGGTTAGTCGCCGTTGTCGTCGTTTTTACGCTGTTTAAAATTTCTCGCCATAATTTGTGCCTGTGACCATTTACGTGTTCAAAAAGCAGATGCAGTTTTCACTTCAATAATAGTCAAGCGAGTAGACCCAGCCCGGTTGTTAACCCCCTTGGAAATTGGACGTGTTCATCCTGAAGACACCCTGCTGTCGAAGTAGTTCCAGAAGTTGCTTTTTTTGCCACAAAATTGCTCGATTTTGTGGTAACTTTAGTTCCGTCAGCATCTCTCAAGTTCGCCATCTTGAGCAGCAATAATGTGGGTCTCAAGTGTCGCCTGCACGTTTCACTCCGACCCTTCAGAACCCCTCTTCTTGCTGACTGAGAGCGTACTCCATTGGAAGGTTGTCTTTCATTGCGCCTGCTCTGTAGCTGCGTTCAAAGGCACGTGTGGTCGTCCCTGTGCTTGTTGTCCTTCGCTTGAATCACGTCATTTATGCTAAATATCCGCAGTTGGCAAGTAGAAATTATGTTTGCATAATTACACGTACGGGAGCTGTTGCCTTGCATGCTTATTGTGAAGTCCACACACGCACACACCCTCCTCCCGAACTGCCTCGCACGCATCACGAACGCCATGGCAACCGATTCGGTAACGCCGCGGACCATGAGCTTGGTAAAATGTTTGTGCGTCGCCAAGCTTAGCCCTGTGGCATTGCTATTAATCCTTCAGTGTGACTATTGGCGAGCAGCCCAGCTGTTTGGGTGGAAGCGATCGTGAGTTGTTCATTGTTTGCTTGGGGTCACGAAAAAGTCAACTTGTCTGATCAAATTTGGCTGGTTTGAGTAGTGTTTCGGGGCTTGCTCAGCACACCTAGGCTTTAAAGAGGCGAAGCCAGTCATAAAAAAATGCTTGTTATCGCACTGAATGTAAGGTCATTTGCGTTGCATAATTGACAGCCATTTCCTACCGCTTTGTAATAAAATTAGCCTGTAGTATGCGAGGCACTCTGTCGGCTGATTTCTACTTCCCCACAATGAGTTAGTTAAACGACTCGTTGCTAGATTGGCCCAAGGCAAATGCCATTTTACAAGCTCCCAATGTGATCCTCAAACCCTCACCACGGCAACTGAATTAGTAAGGCCGTCGCGGCCTGATCCGGCGCCAAGCATCCGGAAGAGCGAAAACACCGAAGGCGGTGGGACCTCAGTCGTTGGCTAGCTGCGGCTGTTCTCGCTTATTTATAGGTTGTGAGCTGATGCTTGTGATACAGGTGTGTCTACGTCGATTTTGGCGATGAAAGGGGCTCTGGAGGCTGTTGTGTGTGCTACTAGGTGACACAACTTCTGATTTAATCCCGCCTGCTAAGATTGGGCTTTTCTTTTTGTCTGTTAACTTCAAGGCTGCCGCCATCGGAGATCCTTGCCAGAGCAAGTCAAAGTTATTCAACCTTTTAGCCCAATTTAATACAAAGGATCCATGGGGAACCGCCTATTATGACACTAGCTATGGTAAATGCTCTCATAGAAACATTGCATAACCCACCCGGTGGTTATAACGGTGTTTAGCTCGCTCTACCAACGTCCATTGGACCGTTAATTTAAAGAACGTGGCATCCATCGGTGGATATCCACTTCGGCAACTGATTTATCACCAACGTCGCATGTTTGTAGCTTTTTCAACGGAATCCCCTACCTCTTGAATTTCGCGTTCGAAAGAGCCATCTACGTTGATTGTTGTTTTTCCTGTTCTCTTCGGTCTAGGCTCTTGAGTCAGATCTGGTATCTTGTCAGCTGCACCACTGGATCGATCTGATCTTCGGCTACAAGCAACGCGGCCCGGAGGCGGTAAAGGCCACCAATGTGTTCCACCACTTGACCTACGAAGGCAGCATCAACTGGGACCAGGTAGGTGGCGGCTCAGTGCGCGCGTGCTGACCCCTCACACCCCCGGTTCGGTGTGTAGCAGCAACTGCAGCGTAACTCTATACCCTCCATTTTTCGTTACACTCTGTGTGCTCTTGCTCAAACCCAAGTTTATGGCTGCATGAAGCTCTCTACACTGCTTTTTTTGACCACCATCCACTATTAGCTATTGCTCTTGAGCGGAAAGCATGTTAAGCAAATCGTAATAACTCCGAAGGGGTTGCTGGTAGTGACCAATCTCGACATTTTTTTCAGGAATATAACTGTCGATCAACATAACCACTCGAGAGGGATCATAACCTGCCAATAGAAGAAGCTTTAAAGATGGCAAGATGATGAATTTTCGGTTAAACAGATTCCCTGGTGTTGTTCTCAGCCTGTACAAGGGGTCGCAAATGGCGCTATTCTACGTCAATTTAGTTTGAATCTCCTCTGTAAGGTGTTCACGAGTAGGTTAAGTCAACTGACCTAATGCCAATTAGCGTATCCGTTACCTGCCAAATCGTTTTCAGGTGACGGACCCGATCTTGCGCAAGGCGATCGAGAATCAAATTCAGAGTTTCGGCCAGACGCCGAGTCAGTTATTGACGACGCCACACCCCCAACGGAGCTCCGCTCTGGGTTCCTGTCCCAGCCTCTTCAACCCCCTCACCCAGGAGGTCTGCTGTCGCCTGAAGCTGCCCTCCAATTCGCCAATCGTGGCTATCTTCAGCAACACCCACCCCTGTGTTCCCTCACCGGCTGTGGTTGCTGTCTCCGCGAACCGCGTATTCACTGTGAACAAATGGAATAGATCTGCTGCTGGTGAGGCCTAGTTCAGTGGCCCTGTCGGCAATTTCCCCCGTTAAATTAATACTTATAAATCATTTATGCGTTGCGGTTATTTCGGAGTAGTAGTACTGCCTTCTCTTTCAAATGGGGCCGCTTTGTATGTAGGCGGAGCTTCGGTTCTTCTGCTCAACCAACGAGTTGCCAGTGCGTCACGTCCTTTTTTTCAAACATTTTAGAAGTAGCTCGTCGGCGATGTAAGTGCCTCCTCCTCCTCTTATTCATTTGAGTCATAACGTGTCGCTAACCACTTTCGATCTCAGCTGAGCGGTCCGCTAACGTCTACTTCTTTGTACCCTCAATCTTAGAAACCAGTTTTGCACCTTCTAGATAGACGCCACATCCCCATCTGTTCGGATGTCACGCGTTGCTTTCGAGTTCGTCTCGTCTGCCTCGCTGGCATGCGATACGCTTTTTCGCTTACACGTTCGTCAAATTCTCACACAGCACTACACGAATCCCAGCGCTGTATTAAATCACCCAACAAATCACTTTTAAAAAGCTTCTGATAGGTCGGCTGAATTCCCCGTGATCTGCTCCACACTTTGTTTGGTGCTTGGTCCGTTAGCTTTCCCGGTGGACGTTCAACGATGTGGTCGGTCACTTGTCGTGGTGAACGCGTAGTTTCCACCCTCCACGCATGTGAATACCTCGACGAGGCCTAGGAAGAGTTGTCTCAGCCAACCAGTGGCCGAACCCGTGCGAGTAGTGGTATTCTTCGGATGCGTCCTCACCAAAGTGACGGGCTGTTTTTTTCACCACTAGCTACTGGTTTTTCCAAATGCGATCTTTTTGATGAATAGATCGTGCATAAATCTCGATTTCCCAGCCAGTGTCTTGGTGAACCGAGTTTGATTCTTTTCTTATTTGTTGAATTGGCTTGCAATGAATTGTAACAGCTAAATTGCAAGACATCTTGAGTACGTAACAATCCACTCGTCATTCCTCCCCTCTTTTTTTTAAAAAAAAACTTACCCTTCAACTTTCCCACAGGCTTCATCAAAGCTTCTGGTGGATTTGTTTAAAGCTAACCTAATACCTTCCATTGTTCTGTTCCGTCACTTTTCCCCGCGAAACTATTCACACAAGCGCAACTAATGTTAGCAGTTATTTTCTCGTGCAGATTTTTTATACTTTCTAAAAAAATTCACCTAACTTCCGGCTTCTCGTTTTTTGAAACTTTGTGTACAATTCGACTCGTGGTCGGTTCGCGTCGGACCAGCCCAATGCATTGCGTTGTCTCGGCTGTTTGTGTGTGTGTGTGTGTGTGTTGCGCGTCAAGCGCCTGCCAACATTTGCTTAGCTCACTTGAGCATTTCTTTCAAACACACAATCGCGTGCGCTTCTTCAAGAGTGTACCATTTTGTTAATGGCATGTGTGTGTGTGCGCGTGTTCACTTGTACGGTTTTCGCCAAATAACTCGAGTCGAGGCAGCCGACTCCTAGAGACTGCTGCGCCTCGAAATTGCGAAGACCAAGAGGCGCCTGAGGCTCAACCTGTAGGGGGATTCGTGTTGATTAATGTCCAATAACCCAGTCCTCGCGGCTTCCAGCACACGTCCCCCCTTTTCACGACCTACCTGTCCGTCACATGGGGCCACTGTTTCATTAACTACTCTACATGTCCCACCACCACCCGGTTTAGTCATGTGACCTCAGACACCTGTGTTGATTTTTGTACGTGTCCACTGAACCGTAATTGCACACGAGACAATTTGGTTGAGCTGTCTAGTAAACGGTTGTGCCCTCTCCACTCCGGTCTTCTTTATTTTCGCGGCAACACAGGGTAACGTATTCGGCCTAGATTGTCGCAGTGGCCCCGGCGTGGTTCAATGTTGATTCACGAGTGCGTGCAGGTCCGAGGCAATGGCGCGGCAACAGTGAGAGTCAGCAGAAGTGTGTGTGGGGATCAAGTTAGCTCAACACCGAGTTAACCGGAGTGATGGTTTGAAATTAGCAAAATCCACCACAAACCATCTTTAGACACCCCATTTGGGGTAAATCCCTACTGCGCGGCTCCTTGGTCACGTCTTTGGTGAGTTGGTCTCTCTCCAAGCAATAGGCGACCCCCTTTCCACATCTTGTCTCGTGGGCTGCGTTTTCGTCAGGTCGAGACGGCAGTCTAGAGCTAACCCCCTGTCTTCTGCTACCATGGGCTCTCCATTTCACACCACTCTGCTAATTTAGTCTTGCCCGTCAATTTAAGGAAGCCACTTGTGCACTCGAATGTGGCGACTCCAGTCAGGCCTCTGTAGGCAAAGTGGCACAATCAGAGGTGACGCGACTGCGATCTCCACTATCGCTTTCTCGGTTCATGTGTTGCGACTTGATTGTTTGCAGATTTGAAATTGGCTCCGACCCCCGCGTCTCCAACCACCTCGGGCGCCGCTCGAAAGACTTCATCGTCGTCGTCGTCGGTTGAGCCCCCGCAGTCGCTGTCTTTCTTTCCTGTTCCCGCACCCCTTCCCTCGAGTTCAACAGACAACCAGCCCGCCGCGCCCCTTGTCCTTGACACCACACCCCTGGGTGAGTGATGCCTCGGGCGCGGCTTCTTTCGACACTTAGTGGAGTAAATTAGGAGTTGTGATTACCCCGTAACGTGGACGGTCAATTCCACGATTTGCAGCTTTCAATTATCAGCGTGTGTTCGCTCAGATCTGAGTCGAAGCCAAATTACCACTGTTTTTCGGTTATTTCAGTACCAAACCCATCTGCAAATCGACGCTACGTCGGTGAAAACATTGACCCGTCCCTTTGTCTCACTTCGAATAACTTTGTCGTGACCGCCGACAATCGTGCTATCGCCGCTTGCGGCTACTTTGATTACTCCTTCCGAATATTCTCAGTGGAATCAGGTCAGCTTCTGAATCGATCGATGTACTTATAATTATGTAGTAGGAGGTAATTCCTCATTTGTGCGCCTCTTTAGGACGTTGTGTTCAGAGCGTGTACGGGCACCAGGACGTGGTCACTTGCCTGGGGATTTCCGAGTCCAACTCCAGTCCTCACTGCTACATCGCCAGTGGAGGAAGGGACGGCCTCGTTCTTCTGTGGATCTTGAATAGCAAAACTATTTGCCTTTTCTCCGAATACGGCAAGTCCTCATCTCAGTACTGAGTAGTCTCTTGTGGTTCTGCCTGGCAGTAATTTTGAGTCCTGCGTATCTTGTTTCAGCTGGTGAGCTTCCACTGCCGCAGGCAACGCTGGCTGGCCACCAGGAACCACTGCAGTGCATCGGCATTTCCGCAGAATTGGGCCTCGTCTTTAGCGGATCAGAAGGTGGGTGCTAGTGTCTGGTCTCGGATTTTTCTGATCTGAGCCTTGTAGGTGATCAGATTTTAAATCACCTGCCGAAGTTTGATTACTTAAGGTTGTGCTAAATTTAATATTAAAAAAAACACTTTACATACATTCCTGCCATCATTAACTCAAGCGTAGTCATGTCGGGAAGGTAGATGTTTGGCTAACCAATTACCTCGTGTTCTGCATACTTATTAAGCTTAGATCTGTTGTTGGAATTGTGGTGTTACATAAATTCCGGCCGTGTCGTAGAATGCGGATTCTCCCGCTCGTATCCGTAGTTGATTGTTTCTTTTTCACACCGATCAACAACAACGTGGCGCTTTGATATCCCAAACGCTGTAGAAGCGTACAAGGAGGTTGTGGTTCTGTGGTTGAGGCTGCCACGTTTTCCCGTCGACGTTCCAACGACTGAATGAATCCTTGTAAATTAAGGCGTCCTTTGACCTTTAGTTGAACTAACAATGTGCCATGTTCTGTCGTTAATGCTATTACGTCTGTTCTTACTTACTGAACTGACCGTTCTCCACTCTTACCAACCCGCTTTCTAAGTGTGCGATCATTGCTACTTGCGTTCAAGTGTTTTAAACAAAAACTCTGATCCTACATGTAGCGAGGATCGTGAGTTTACAACTGCAAGGATTATCGGATGATACCATGCAAATTCTTACTAACGCGCATATCTTTCATCTGTCTATTATGTGTTTCTGCTTTTGACACCAACTCTCATTATTGCCATCTGCAGAAATTCCACCCAGTTGGTATTTTACGCTTTTTTACGCCTGTAATGTCATGGGTACTTTAGCCAATGACAATGCACGTCGAGGAGTCCAGTCTCCGTCGGCTCTGGCCCTTCCCTCTGGGATGTCATGGTGGTATCTTTGGTCCCAATGTGGGGCTCGAACCCACTTCGGCGCCTCTACTAAGATTTTACCTTGTAACTTTTATCCATCCAGCTTCAAAATCACACCTTGTTAGCGCTTGTAGTGGCAGAGAACATGAGAGGCGGGGTGCCATCGTTCGCTAGTGGTCCACTGGACACGGCGTGTCATGCTGCGTGCGTGTAAACATTGGAGGTCACTGAGGCTCTGGGGTGGGGGGGGGGGG